CTGTGCGGTTGCATCGGATGCTGGTCGCTCGTCAACTCGTCGAGTGAATTCGTTGAAAGCGCTATTGTTTATAGGTTATAAAAACAACGCGAACCAATATCTTAGAAACATCGCTTAATTCAAACTTCAAAGTACCTTGCAGCGAATTGATCGGCTTAATATGCGTTTATAATACTCTCATATGTTATGATTAGATTGTGAAAAAGAAGAAATTAACAACTGAAATATTACAAGCAGTGTCTAAATCCACACTTAGACGCTACAAAAACCTGTTTGTTATAATTATTAATACAAAGATGTTCGATTTCTTGTGGCAAAACGTGGCAGACGCTATGGCAACTAAGCCACGGAACGAAGAAATAGATTTCTCACAGAAAAAGTCGTTAAAAAACGTTAATAGAAAATCATAGCAGTGGTTAAATAAATAACCTTAATTACATTGGAAACTATATCATATTATCAATACATTACACGTGCTCGGTCTACTCTTAACAAGAGGTTTCGACATACACGTGTCATCCCGATGTCTTTTTTCACCGTAACTTGGAAATCAAAGTCATTACATTCGGGAGATTTATACTGACGACTCCCAATCGCTCATTGAAAACCAAAGCTTCGGAAATAAATTCCATCTCTTTACGGAATAAAATTAGGCGTGGAAAATAATCGCAAGCTATTTCGGGATTCAAATCTGTCGAGGAAATTTCATCAAATCGAGTCCTTCCTTATTAGTAACAGATTGAATAGTCAAGACACGAATACCTTAAGATCGTATCTGTTGCCCACTTCATTAATTAAATAAATTACATCAAATGTATCACTACTGTCTTCAATGTAACCTTTCAAGAATTCGTTTATGACGCCATGTGACAGGATGAACAAGTCGTGCGTGGTGGTAAGCGACACGCCTGTACATAACAGCTGCAGTGCCACTCAAAGCTTTAAATCGCAAAGATCTGGGACACAGACACTGAACCCGTCACCCTGACCACATTGGTAGACGAGTCCCATGTGTCTGTGATTTCACCCTTCAAAACCGGAACGCAGTAATGCTCACATTACTGTTTGGCGGCAGAAATAGGTGAGGTGATAATATATACTTCCCTGGCGGAATTCCTTCAGAAGAGCTCTATTGCCACTGAAATTTGCATATTTAACAGCAATCATATTCATTTCTATACGGCATTGACAGCCCTGGAACTTACATACTCTCAGTTATTTAAAGGTTAGTTGTAAGAAAACCCTTTACGACATAAGTTCGCCCTTGTACACTATTTTTCTTAACTTACTTTATTAATTAATTCTGATAATTCGTTTTGTTGTACAATAAAGTGTTTACATACACACGTAAATCTTCTACACATGCCTTAGGATTTATATTGGAATATACATTGGCATAGCCGTACCAACCGCCACTTTGCACGATCCTGTCTTTTCATTAAGCCCTCAAACTCTTCTCACTTCAACCAGTTTAAGAACATTCTCGATGTGGTCTGAGAACGTACTTCTGGGTCGTCATTACCCTTCCTGTCGGCCCTATACATATTGTAAATAACGGCGTGCAAAATAATTCTCCTAAGCAATTTCTTGTTTTTCACTCAAAGCCCTTTCCTTTATGTAACGTGACACTTTGGAGCCTTAATAAATTACCCGTAACCCGTCCATCGCGGATGTTTCGCCAAATGTCCGTAAAAAAGCGCTGTTTGCGCTTTACGGCTCGATTTTACACATATTCACAGGCTGAATATATACAGGATAGTCCCGTGCTCATACAACGCTGCTGTATAAAATAATAATAATAATGACGACCATGCCAATTACCTGATCTCAATCCAGGCAATTCCCTGTATGTACTACGAGTACCATAATATCGAAATTAGCTTAGGGGCACTACCCAGAACACCGAGACCAGAACCAATTCAGAAAGTCTAGCATCTACTGTATTAACCGCTGAGTCACCGAGGTGACCAATAAAAAAATACACACAAGGTACCCGTCTGTAGGTTTTTAGAAAATATTGGAAAGTATATAGGAAAATACTTATTTGCTTTGTAGAACCATTCGTCACAATCAGACTCACAAAAAAGTTTATAGAAAAATCTGCACGGCCAAAGTTACTTGTGACTTAAAACTTTTTTCATGTTTCTCAAGTTACAAAGTCAGTTATCCGTGGAACTTTGATCAAAAAATCCAGCTTATTTTCAAAACCGTCTTAATAGTCAATAATTTACTTTTCGTGCAAGACTTTAGCCAATCTTCAACTTCGATCTCCCAACTTTCGTCTGTTTCCCATCAGGCTTCCTGTGCATGCCGTAAAGAGTTCACTTGCCGTCTAGACACTTCGACCTGGAGTAAAAAGCGAAAGTCTCTCTCTTTCGCTCGCTCACACATGCGCAGACATGTACCAGCAAGAGGGAGACAACAGGTGGCTGTTAAAAATTTAGGAGGACGGGGTGGGGGCCAAGGTCGCCGTACGGAAGCGTCTGGCCTGAAGATTACATATATCGATTGGACCATGTAACGACGGCTGTATGGAATCCAAGAGATTCAATGCAGATTAATAAGTTGGAATTCATCATTAAGTATTGCGACCAAAATTGATGATTAAAATTTCTACAGAATTGGCTAATGTTAAATATTTTGGTTTTCATGCAATTCTAGTGCTCTCAACTAAAGGGGCACGAACGTTTAAAGTTACATTATTTTCACTTTTCCATTAAATCATTTTTTCGTCAACAGCTTTGTAATACATACGAACGTAAATTTCCACCATCTAGTTTCCTTCCTGCTCGCCCACACGCAATTCAGGCTAAAACAATATTAGGCCTTGACTAATAAATGACCTAAACTTCCTAGAAACCTAACCCTTTGCGCAGGAAGTAAATAACATAGGAATAACTCTCGCTGAATATTTTGGTAGTTGCTACCCACTGGGTCTATAATACTTAGATTCAAATTTACGTACAGCGTGTTTCAAACTGTTGCTGTTGAATAAACAAAATTATTTCAACCAAAAAAGTGGGCATAGACGATATCAATTGCCCAGCGGCTAGTGATGACGCAAGAGCAGCCGCAGTTGTGTGCCATGTTAAAGCCCAATGAACGTGTATTGAAACTAACCAGCTGTTGTCGAAGTTCAGTGAAATATATATATTAGCCCTGTAGCTGAATTCGGGTGTTTTTATGAAAAGATTGTTACGGCGATAAGCCACCTTTTACCTTGTATTGTATAAGCCTAGACTCTAGAGACCAACATTATGAAATTCCCTAAAGTTAGAAGCTTGACAGAAATAAAGCTTTTACAATAACTGTAAAGAAGAAATACAGGCAATTTCATTTCAAAAAATATAGCTGTAAAAAAGTAAATATGTATTTTTAGGTAGCTAGATACCTACCAAGATTAAGAGCACATCATCTTATGTAATAGTAAATGCCTAACTGCCACGCACGTCTTGAATTAAAATTTTGTAAAGATCTTCTTTGGCCTTCGTTAAAGTTTCCAGAGTCTGATAACTTAGGCTACGATTATCTATGTAGAGATAGAAAGGTGGTGGTAGAGTAACAATATTGGCGACCTCCTGAAGGCTAGCAATGTGGGCACGGATCCGGTTCGATTCCTGGTAAGATCAATTTGGGCAACGAGCTTTTCTAATCACTCAGTACTCATAGTACACGGAATTCTCAAGTGCTTGTCTGCCATATTATTATTATCGATAAGTTTTGGCAGACATCTAAGTTATAAGTTAGATAATCAGGTTAAAGTACCAATCAGTCAGGTTTTACTTCATCATTAGTTAGTATTTAACCTACATATTAAGTGTACGAGTATGTAGTTATGTAAAAATAATTTATTTTTATTGCATTGCTATGTAATAAAAAGATAATTCCAGGAAAGATTTTAGCATAAGGAACAATGGACGTATTATAATAAAACATTTAATTTAAACAGTTTTTTTGTATAAAGATTACATTTTCTATTTTAATTAAGTATAAATTGAAAACATTTAATTTCTATACAAAAGGATTTAAATTAAATACGATTAAATAAAACTCGATATGAGATTTAAAATGTGCTTGCGCAATAAATGCACACTCGTAAACTTTTCAATACTCGAGTTCGTATGGAACATAATACATATTGCAAAGTTTCTCTTTAATGGCGCTTTTATTTAAAATAATTATTACGAAAATAATGTAGCACTATTCTTCAGGTGATACTCGTGCTAATAGACTATCATCAGGTTAATATCGTCTGTGCATTGTGTAATTAATTATATTGCTGCTCCAAGGGTAGCGGAATTTGTGCGCTGGCACAGTATTTATGAAAACTTGATAAGTAGAAGCAGTAGTACGAATGAAAGGAACAAAAGAGGCCAAGTCAAAAGTACAAATAACGGCTCAATCTAAGATAAGTACTTAGAATCAGTAATACGAATGAGAGGAACAAGAGTCTTATGTCAAAAGTACAAGGAATGGCTAAATCTAGACATGTAGAAGCAGTATTACGAATGAGAGGAACAAAAGAGGTCAAGTCAAAAGTACAAAGAATGGCTCTATCTGAGATAACTAGTTAGAATCAGTAGTACGAATGAGAGGAACAAAGAGGCTATGTCAAAAGTACAAGGAATGGCTCAATCTAGACAAGTAGAAGCAGTATTACGAATGAGAGGAACAAAAGAGG